ATTTCATTGCTTTGTTTCATCTTTTATCTATTCCAGTGCCAGCTTTGCCTAACAACCTTTCTTATTATATGAAAGATGTAAGCAAGAAGATGCAATTAGCAATGATGTCATGCAGTTTGAGGCATTTCCAATTACGCCTGTTGGTTCCTTTGGCATAATTTCAAAACTCATTGCTGTGGGCCAATTTAAAATGAATTTCCTGAGATAAACATGAGATCTGTGTGCTCTAATTGCTTGGGAGGTTGTAAGAATCCAGTGTTCGAGTTCTCTGGTCTTGATATGAAAAGGTGCTGTTAAATATTTAAAGCATTGGAGGGGTCTGCAGTGTCATGAATACCTCGAATGCACATTAGAATAACAAGGGGAAGCTTTCGGAAGGTCATGGCAGATTGGGTCTGTTACATGACTTTAAAGTATTTAAATGCTTGGAAACATGTAGAATGGTCAGTCTGTTACCAAGGAGGGAACAAGAAACTTTTAGAAATAAATGAAGAGGCTGACTGGATGGTTTCTGGGTAGAGAGGAAAGTCCTGCCTGTCCATTGACACACACTGACGGTGTACGTCTACTAGCCTGTCCGTGTCTTAGTTTCTACAGCTGTAGATGAGACTAATGGTTCTTGAACCTTTTAGTGATTTTGAGGGAACTGAATGCATTCACGCGTGCAAAATACTCAAATACCGTTGTATAGATGGAATAGTTGCTGTTGGGACCATTAGGTCATTGCAATTTTTTAAAGATGAAGGGAATCTTAAAGTACAGCAGCAGAGGAGGTAGAAAAGAACAGGGAGAAAGGATGTAACACGTTTGCACCTGTGGCTCTGGAACAGCAGTTAACTTCCAGCTCCAGATGTGCGCTTTTCACGGCCCCGCTAAGACCTGGTAGAGCTTGAGCAGGGTGGGTATAAGTGTACCAAGTGTACTCTGCACTAGCATTAGAGCAGATAAGGGCTGTGATAAATTGTAGGTTCTGGGACCCAGCCCCGATGTCTCAGATCAGGAGTTCTGAGTGAGAACTGGCTTTGCACGAAGTGCTGGCTCGACAGCTTTGAGAGCTGCTCAGCTGTGCCTGGGGTGCCCTCTGCTCAGCTGTGCCTGGGGT